ATGAACCTTCATGATGATAGGGCCTATCCCACAGAGTGGGAACATGTGTATCATCTCCCCATATTAAAATCATCCTTGATTTGCCCTTTATCATCGTTCATTGATATTTATCTTTTAATGTTTCTCCTCATTCTCATATTTCAACTACATAGTTTCTCAGCAGCTCTGGTCTTTCCAGCAGGAGTGCTTGGAAGGTCTCTATTTGAATCAAAGGCACATTTCCCCTTGTAACATTATACTCAGTTTTGCTGGGTAAGTGGTATATGTCTGTAAGCATATATCCTTTGCCTTCTGTAATACGGTTTTCCACGCTCCACATTTTTTTGTGGTAGTAGCTGCTAAATTGTGTGTGACCCTTACTGTGGCTCCTCACAACTTGAATTCTCCTTTCTGGCTGTTTGCAGTATTTTCTTTTTTTGACCTGGAAGCTCTAAGTTTAGCTATGATGTTCCTGGGAGTTTTCATCTTGGGGTCTCTTTTGAGATGTGTCCAGTGTCTATTTCTACTTTGTTCTCTGGTTCTAAGAGATCTGAAAAATCTGAAAATTTTCCTTTCCTAGGTCATCTTCCCTACATAAATCCTTGACCCTATCCCCTCCCATCATCTCTAGCAGATTGTCCCATTGTGATCCTTATTTGATCTCGTCATCAACCTCTCCCTATCTATCGACTCCTTTGCTTAAAAAAAAAAAACCTCACTTGAGCTTACCATCTATGATAGTTATATCACCTAGGAAACTGAGTAGAAGATAGGTTGAAGTGAGGAGGGACTTGGGATAAGAAGAACAATGATTTTGCTAAAGCATAGGTCTGACTGTGTTACCTCCCTTACTTAATGGACTCCAGTGATTTCATGTTCCCTTAAGATCTGATATGGATGCCCCCTTTTTGGTATTTGTAACTCTTCATAATCCCTTCCCATTCTATCTTTCCAATCTTGTTGCACTTTACTCTTTTCCACAAACTCTGTAACCCAGCTACTTGCTATTCCTCATGCATGATGCCCCATTTCGTTTTCTATATTTTTGCCCTGGTTTTCCCCCTCATGTATGAAATGTTCTTCCCCCCTCATCTCCACCTCTTGCTTCCTCCAAGACTCAGCTCAAATCTCTCCTTCTGCAGGAAGCATATTCTGATTGCTTTAACTGCTAGAGTTTTCCCCTCTCAAATTCATTTCCATCTAATCTCTCTAACAAGTAATATATATCATATATATATATATATGTATATGTTGTATTTACCAGGCTTTTCACATGTTGTCTCTTCCCTTGGAATGCATGTATCTTTAGAGCAGGGTCTATTCCTTGCTTTTTTGTAACCTCAAAATTTATAACAGTGCCTGGTATATAATAAATGGTTAACAAATACGTATTTACTGTTGACTGACAGGAAGAACATGAAGTGGGAGCATGACAGCCCTTAGACTCCTAGACTTACATGGTATCTCTGGCCTTGGAGTCAGGAGGACCTGAGTTCAAATCCAGCCTCAGACACTTGACACTTACTAGCTGTGTGACCCTGAGCAAGTCACTTAATCCCAATTGCCTCACCAAGAAAAAAAAATGCTTTGTAAACAACTAAATAAATATAAGGTTATCATTTAAAAAAAAAAGGGTGGCAGCTGGGTGAAGCAGTGGATAGAGCTCCAACATAGAAGTCAGGAGGACCCGAGTTCAAATCCAGCCTTAGACACTTGACACTTGCTAGCTTTGTGACCCTGGGCAAGTCACTTAACCATGATTGCCTCACACACAAAAAAACGTAAGGCAGGTCCATGACCCCTCTAGGTATTAACACCTAGGAAAAAGCCCTATTCCATCCCACTCCATTTCTGGCTCCAACAATAAGACATACAAAAATAATCAAGGTGCATCTCCACCTATCTATGTCATTAAAAGCATAACAGAATTCTGTCTGCCAGGCTTGCACCTATCTTTCCTCTTATCCTCACTGTTATCCTACAACCGCCGTGGAGATTTTGGGCCAATCAAGGATCAAAAAACAGGAGAATAGTAATTTCAGCATCATATCATAGAGGTAGTATCCCCGAGATGTTGGTACCTGGAACCAAAAGCCCTGTCTCACCTTGGTTATGGCACTGACAATAAGACATACAAAAATCATCCACCTGTAACTATTTCCCTTTAAGATAATACCATGATTCTGTCTACTAGGAAGATCCAAGTGCTTGAAATGCAAATGTAAGTGCATCCTTCACTGAGATAGCTTTGCCCTCTTTATGAGAGGAAATTGACTCTATTTCCTTTCCTCTAGACTTAAAGCAACTGCCTCTGGTCACTGGGTCATAGCTGGGGTCGGGGAAGACGTGGGGTAATGCAATCAAGAGAGCATGGAGATAAAGCTTCAATCAAGTGATTTTTGTTCAGTGCTAGAAATGTCATTCAACCTGGCTATGAGCTAGTGATAAATTTGTTTGGATTTTGATGTGTGATTCAAATTCATATTATTGCCTAAAGGTAGTGCATTGGGGTCCTGAAAGTTAACCCCTGGGAAATCCCCTGAGGATTTGTCCTGTTGATTAATGTAACCAGCCATTTTGTTCTCTCCAAACACAACTTGGAAAGCATTCATCTCTCCCTAAGACGTATGACTCTGGAAACAGCAATGAAAAGTGCAGAAGTCTCAGTTAGCCCTGCTTTTGCATTTATTATTCTCTGTTTCTGCCTGCTTGGCGCACTAGCCTGACATTTTTCTTTGTTCTTATGGGCATGTATCTAGCTTCCTCCCACAGATCTTTTGCATGGCAAGAAGGATACAGGCTCTAAACAGTATTCTTCCCCCACAGATGTCAAAAATGCACAGGCGTGCACTGTGTGCCAGGCTGTGGGTGGCATAGAGAGAAAGGGCTAAGACACATAGCAAGCCAGAGGGGTCTCATTGATGTGTTAATGTGGTCTTGTCCTCAGCCCTGCAGCCATTGTCATTTACATCACTTAGTATTTGATTGTTTGAACTAGTAGGAGTTATAAGTAGCACAAATGAAACTGAAGACAAAAATCCTGTCCTCTAGTAGATTATAGTTTAGAGGATGTAGCCTGGCAGGAAGATAGGAAAATGACATCTGAACACTTATACCACCCCCACCCCCCAAAAAGACAAAGTAAATGCCACTTGCAAACTAAAAGAACTCTATGTAACTTTAAATAGAAATTTGGAAAGATAAAGAAAGGGGAGCAGTGTGTTATAGAAGGTGGTATAATCTAGTCCAGAAATGCAGCCTTGATACTCCAATGCCCCGAGATAATGGGTGCTTTGTTAACATGCACTAACTAATTAGCTATCATTGTACTTGGAAACTTAGGCTCTCTTATGATCCGAATTTTGGGAAGAAGTCTAATGACTTGGAAGATGGAGGGAGCTATGTAGGCCAGGTTCATCTCTGTGAGGAATGTTTTGGATCTATTTTTGATTTTCAACTATAGCAGCTCTTGGTAAAGTTGAATTCACAACTACATCTCCTTATGGTAAAGTTGAATTCACAACTCCATCTCCTTACCAATAATGTAGATTTGTGGGTATTTAGTTTGAAAGGAGGGAAAAAGATTTCTAGGCTCAAATAAAACTTAATTTTTAATTCATAGGGCACTGTGTAGATGATGATGAGTTACAAGAGTCCAATCCTAGTAAGGAGAGTGTAAAAGGAATTGTCTTAAATTTAATCAAGTAAATTCCAGATTACAGGTTAAATGAAATGAGAATTCATTCCTACCAGGAGTTTTTCTGAAGGCAGAGAGCCACTTTACTTGCCCCAATGTCCTAAGACTCAGTAGTCCCTCACTGATTGCTGAAAATTGCCTGCGTAGTAGTTCCTCTAACATTCCATAAGCTTTGTCAGGAAAAAGTAAACATATGGAGTTCCCATTCTTCTCCAACATCTTTCAGCTGAAGCTTCACTCTCCAACTTTTTCTCCTTGAACCCAAGAACAAGTACAAAACCCGAGGTCCTGTGAGTTCTTTTCCATCTTAAATACTCTGCAACAAGTGAAAAAGTTGCACTATCCCATGGTACATGGTATTAACAAATGTGCAAAGATGATGGTTTGAGGGATTAATGATCTTGAAATCAGAAAAACTTGAGTGTGAGTCCTAAGACTGCCAGCTGAGAGACTTTGGGAAAATGGTAGAATGTAAGCTCCTGGAGGGCAGGTACTATTTCATGTTTATCTTTGTATGTCTATGGCCTTACACCAATAGTTGGCACATAATAAGAACTTGATAACTTTTTTTGATTGATTTTTTTTAATTGGTGTTGTATTGGTGAACCTCGGTTTCCTTACTTATATAATAAGGGTAATAATGCTTGTACTTCCTGCCTCACAGAGTTGTTGTGGAGAGCAAGTGAAATAAAATGCATTGTGAGCTATAAAGACTTATGGAAAGCTACTATTATTACTATTGTAACACAGTGCTTGGCACATAGTAAGTGCTACATAAGTGTTACCTTGTAGTAGTAGTAGTAGCAGCAGCAGCAGCAGCAGCCACAGTAGCAATAGCAGTAGTAGTAGTATTAGCAGTAACAGTAGCAATAGTAGTAACAGTAGCAGCAATAGTAATAGTAGTAGTAGTAGTAGTTGCAGGAGTAGTAGTAACAGTAGCAGTAATAGTAGTAGTAACAGTAGCAATAATAGTAGTAGTACTAGTAGTAGTAAATAGTAGTAGGAACAATAGCAGTAGTAATAGTTAACAGTAGTAGAAGCAGCAGTAGCAGCAGCAGAAGCAACAGTTGTAGTAGGAGTAACAGTAGTAGTAGTAGTAGTAGTAACAGTAGTAACAGTAACAGCAGTAGTAGGAGTAACAGCAGTAGAAGTAGTAGTAGTAGCAGCTATAGCAGCAGCAGCAGCAATAGAAATAAGTCAAAATCTAGCCATTATTAGTCCAGTCTAAGAAACCAGTTTCACAGGTATACAACCCCAAAACTAAACTTGCAAAGAAATGAACAAGGAAGCATACAGTGACTCTGAGTTTGTTTTCTTTCCACAGAAAATACTTTAGGAATGACTACCACCCCCTACATCAAGGACCAGGGAAGCTCCAAAGGTCTGTCTCTCTATGTCTGGAATGGGAATTATGACCCCTTCCTTTCCCCCTTCTTTAGGATAAAGCTATAAGTCTTTCAGAATGGGGTGATTTGCTATTCCATGGAAATATCACAGAGAGAAGAGAAATTTCTGCTTGAGCTTCATTGTCCAGATATTCCTGTGTTTGCCTGCAGTGGTTGGAAGTGACTTAAGTGGCATGCTATATTGCTCAGATTCAGTATTTTTCCCATCCATTCTCCCCAGAAATCCCATGAACATTCCTTGGCCTGTGTCTGAGTCTGTAAGGACAAAATTGGCCATTTGGGGGTGTACGTGACCCAAGTCATTTCTAATAGTGTAGGTAGTTCTCCTATAGGGGAATTTTTATCTAACATAGGCCCTGGAGAGGGAGAGGGAAGATGGAGGAAGAAGCTAGGGCCTTAGTGATAAGTAAGCTTTATTCCAGAAATGGCTTAAATGGGGCATTATAATGGGATGAGGCCATGAAACCACAATCATCACTGATCATTTGTGCTGACTCAAGATACAATCTCTCTCTCTCTTTCTCTCTCTCTCTCTCCCCCTCCCTCCCTTTCTCTTAAATGACAGACTCTGGAAACACAATCTCTCTTCTGACCAACTCCTCTTATTCCAATGAGTAAATATGAATCTTTATTCCCTAATATTCAGAATTCTCTACTGGTCAAAGGCCAGGCTGAGGAAAAGGACAGTGTGATCAGGAAAAGGTGGTACACTCTGTGTGTGTATGTGTGTGTGTGTGTGTGTGTGTGTGTGTGTGTGTGTGTTGGTGAGTATGTTCAGCATAAGGGGAGCGATTAGAGCCCAGGTAGCCTTATCTCCAACCTAAGTGAACCAAAAACCCCATTATAAAACCAATCTAAATCCCTGCTGTGAGAATCCCCTCAGAGGGAGGTAAGGCTTAACAAGAATCCGATCTGCATTGCTCTCTCACCCTAGGGCACTGCAGTTACTACCAAAGACGAAGGGTGAATTGATATGACAGAACACAGATGCCCCATAGAGTGCAAACCCCAAAAGCCATGTACAAGTGAATATTAACAGACCTTCAGTTTACCACATCCACACACATATAAAACCTTTCTGATTATTCCCCTTTAATGTACATATGGGTTCATAAAATTTGTACATTTTAATCTTTAAATGTCTGGAGCTAAGTAGCTAATGTCTGGAGCAAGTAAGAATAATTAGAAAATTCATGAATTGGAGTTCTTATTATATATAGTAAAGGACAAGAAGTTGTTAATTTAATCCAAGAGAAGTATTTGCACCTGAAATAATAATAGCTAACATTCATATCACCTGACTATGTGTCAGGCACTGTGCTAAGCATTTTGCAAATATCTCATTTGATTCTCGTAACCACCATGGGAGGTAGGTGCTGTTATTATATCCATGTTATGTGTAAGAAAACTGGGGCAAACAGAGGTTAACTGACTTGCCTAATTTCACACAGCTAGTAAGTGTCAGGGGCCAGATTCGAACTCAGAGTCAACTGGCTCCAGTTCCTGTGCTCTATCCACTATACTGCTTAGGTGCCCCATGAAAGACAGGAATGACTTCATTTCCCAACAAGGTCCCTGTGAAATCCAAATATACCTGTTAACTTAGGCATGTTTTCATTCATAGATATTCATGAATATTGATGACCTTACTTTAATTCCAGTCAATTTAACCTAGAGGCTTACAATGTGCCTAGCCTTTACAATGAAGTATAAACAGCCCTAAGTAATGAGTTGACTAGATATTCTCATTTCCTGGTGAGGGAAGAAGTCTTTTTTTTTCCAGGACTATCTAAGACTTGGAAAATATGATGATAGAACAGAAAAGGCTGTGTTTTTCTGCTACCCACATGCATACACATAAACAAACACATGTATACAGGTATACACATCACACATGCACATATGTGTATGCATATCTATACATACATGTGTGTATGTATGTGCAAAATATATGTGTGTACACACACACACACACACACACACACAAACACATGCTCTCCTCTTCATTGCATAAGCCTTTTCTCAGAATTATTTCTCTTACCTAGGAAATTCCCATGAAAAAATTATGATGAAGAAACAACAACAACAAAAAAAAAACTCACATTCTAAGAAGGAAGTTAGCAGAAAAATTCTTACTGCTCTTCCTGATACAAATTGTTGCAGGAATATTCCTTTGTTTTTAACAGAAGTCATTTTCTCCCGAACATTAAAAGCTTAGTCTTAATTTTTCATTGAATTGAGACTATATCTTGTTTCCTTTCCTGCCTTCTCTTTCTTTGAAGGGGCACTGTGGGGGAGGGAGGACGAGAGGAACTTTTTTCTTTAAAAGTCTTGAGTTGTGATAGAAACAATGCACAATTGTGCTGTGTGTGTACAGTCACTAAATTACCTCTGTGAAGGCCAGCGTGGAGCTGTGGGCAAATCTACATTGCTGGAGGATCCTGTACCTGGATTCCCTTCCAACCCTAAGTACCCTAACCCTACCCCAGTTTTTTGAAGAGGAGCTAAGAATTATTTGGAGAACTGGTACAGGGTGGAAAGTGATAGATTTCCCTCGTGCTTGGAAGCTATTTTTCCCCCAGAAAGGTTACAAGGCTGACATCAAGTGGATTAATCTGAAATAACAACTATAGAATCAAAAAATAATAGAATCTTAGAACTGAGGTGATTCTTGAGTATTTGGCCCAACTCATATCAGAACAGGAGTCCCTCATAAAATGGACTCAAAAAATGGCTGTTCAGTCTTTGTTTAAGTATCTCTAAGGAGAGGGAACTTACTGCCTGCTGAGAAAATTAGGAAATTTCTCTTTAGCTTGACCTCACTACAACTTCTACTCCTGGTGATGGTCTCTGGGACCAAGCAGCACGAGTCTAATTTTTTATTCACATGATACTCCTTCCTATCCTTGAAGATGGTTGTCATATAGCCCCTCACACTTTCAGCAAACTAAGCATGTCTTTTTCTTTCAATCAATCCTCATATGGCTCAGTTTCTCATCCTTATATCATCCTGATTTCTCTCCTCTGAACTTACTCCCATTTTATCATTGTATTTCCTAAAATGTGACTCCCAGGAAATGAACACAAAATACAGATGTGGCCTACCTAAGGTAGAATAAACAACCAGCAGTAGCAGGACCATCCCCTGCCAACTTCGGGGCTTTCTGGGCCTTCTGCCACTCTCAAGGTAGCCTAAGTTCTCCCAAGCCAGACTGTTTACTCAAATTGGGCCTGCATGTCATAAAAACTCCAAGTATTTTTCCACATAAAACTGTCCTCTGGCTACATTTGTACCATCCTATACTCAAACAATCGATAAACCCAAGTTCAGGGCTTTCATCTATTGCAATTAAATTTCAATTCCTTAGATTTAGCCCATTGTTTTTGGATCCTGATTCTGTCATCCATGACATTAATCAGCCTTCCTCACTTTGTGTCATCGTGTAAATTAGGCACCAGGGGAAGAGAGAAAAAGAGAGAGAGACAGAGACACAGAGCCAGAGACACAGAGAAAGAGACAGATAGAGGCAGAAATAGAGTGAGCGAGAGAGAATTTTAATGCCTCCTAAAACTGTATATGACAGTCATCCTTTCACTGACATTACCAGTAAAAAATAATGACTAGTCCCAAAGCCAAAGAGATCCCTGGGACACTCCATTAGATAGATTAGATAGATAGATAGATAGATAGATAGATAGATAGATAGATAGATAGATAGATAGATAGATAGATAGA